AAACTGCATGAAGAAGATATTCTTAGGTCGATCTCACTAGAAGACGACCACAAGATGAGCTACAAAAGATTTTTGGTATCTTTAAGGCGAACGAACTGAAATGCACCGATATCTTCAGGCGCATTAATGTCATTGTAACAATATTGCCAAATCGGTTCTTAAATAATATTCAGTTGATATTGAAGAATTGTGGATATTTTCGAAGCTAATCACCTCGAATTTGTTATAATTTTGACGTCAGCTTTCTTGAGCCTAACCCCCGATGTCGGCAGCCTCTATTGGCCCATCACGACGGGTCATTTTACTGCTGCTTTCGGCTACGCCGCTTTGCCTCTTCTCCTGTTTCCGAGGATGCGACTGATTGCCTGGTTCAGTTTAATCGCCGTCGTCAGTCTTCTCGTCTGCCTGACCGGTGTTTTCGTCTACTGCGGCCTCGAGTTGGCGGAGCCTGGAAGTCTGGAGATGGTGAAATCACATCTGCCTCCCATCGTTGGTACTTTCGACCGTCTGCCCATCTGCTTGGGTGTCATCGTATTCTCCTATTGCGTTCACGCCGTCCTGCCCGGCATCGAGGCCAGCATGCAGACGCCGGGCCGGTTGCCGAACGTGCTGCGATACACCTTTCTGCTAGCCGCTCTGTTGAAGTGCATCTTGGGCCTGTTGCCAACGCTGGTGTTCGGCCCGAATCGGGTGGAGCAGTCGGTGTTGGAGAGTTTTACCGGCCGAATTCGTCTGCAAATGTGTACTCGAATTGCCATCAGCCTGAACGTCTTCTTCAGTCTGCCTCTGGTAGTCTACGTGATCGGCCGGCAAATTGACATTGCCAGTCGGTCGGAAGGTTGGCTGAGGGATCCGGCCACGGGAAAGCCGAAAAGGGCCATTCGACTTGTCTGGCTGTTTGCCACTCGCGGCGCCCTCCTCAGTGCCGCCATTCTCACGGCACTGTTGGTACCCCATTTCGCGCTGATCATGGCGTTCATCGGCTCGGTGACTGGCTCTTTGCTCTGCTTCGTCCTGCCGGCCTACTTCCATCTCGCCCTCACACAACGTACCGCAGCTGGCGTATCGAAGAAGCGTCTTTGTGTGAATTGGGTGATAATCATATTCGGACTGGGAGCAACACTAGTCGGAGGAGTGTTTTCGTGTAGAGAAATCGTGCAGACATTTTGGCTACACATAAAATGACGGTTTTATTGAAGAGCATTATGACCATTAAAATGCCCACTATTAAATAATATTTATTTACTTTTCCGTTTAGCACATTTCAATTGGGCTTTTTAAAATCCTATTATCTTCGCGTTATTCTTCACTATATTCAAATATTCAACAGTATCTACCTCCTCTCCCTTTCTATTCTCTTCACTCCTCTATTCGTTTATTCTGATTTCACCGACTATCTATTTTTTTTCTTTTCTCTATTTTCTTTTAATATATTCTAAGTCGATAGCAAAATCGTATCGGCCGTTTGCCCACATTTTTTCACAATCTAAATGTCTTTACTATTTTTGCTTTCTAAAACACTCTTGCAGGCATTAATTCTTTCATTTGCATTTCTTTTTTAATTTCATTATTTGATATATGCTGATTTCACTTGCATTCTGGTTTTGGTACCCCGACAACGGGGACACAAAAAATGTAAACGCTGTATAGAGGTTGTTTGACCTTGTTTTCGCAACATGGTCATATTGGTAGGAAGACTTAGAGGAACGCAC